GGTGGGAGCAAGGCCGCCGCGGGAGGTGGCAGGCTCCCACCGCGGACCCGCAATGAGGAGCCCCCTCGCCCGCTTTTCCCTGCAGACAGCAAGATCCCCGAGGACACGGGGCTGTGCCGCACCGTCCTGCCCGATCCGGAGCCTTCCCAGGGGCGCTTCTCCCCGGAATCCCACCTTACCGAGGCTGCCGATGGCACCTCCGAGTCGGCGCCCAGCTGCGAGGGCAGCGTCTGTGACAGGGTGTCCGAGTTTGAGGATTTCTGGAGATCTCCCTCGCCCTCCGTCTCGCCAGGTAGGACCAGGGCGAGGAGCGCTCGCGGGGGTCCGGCTGCGTGTTTCTGGCGGTGCCGCGGGTCAGTGTCTCATGGCCGGGCGCCGCCGTCGAAAGCAAGTGGGAAAAGACCAATCTGTCCCTTCCACTCGTTTTCGGGTTATCTCTCTCGGGTTGGTTTTCCAGCCCATCTCCCACTGCTAAGGGAACAGCGCCTGACAGTCAGGCTGTAGGAAAGTTGTGATGCCATCGGGCGTTGATTTTTTTGTTTTTGATTAATTGCTAGAGGCAAACCAGTTATGTTTTAAAGGTACCGGCATTTTCCTACAGGGTCTTGCTACCCGGACTTCAGATGGTTTTTAAGCCAGTAAAATTTTCTACTATATACCTGTAGTAAACACCGTTGATTTTGTGTTTTGTACTACCTGATAGACGTTTTCTCTAGCTCCTTTTCAGGTTATTTCTTGCTTCTTGCCTATAAAAAGGATTTCTCCCTCCCCCTTCCTTCCCCGTTCTCCTTTTTTTTTTCTTGTTTTGTTTTGTTTTTCTAAAAACGCATTCGTGAAAACCAGATTAAAATAATGATGGTCAGATTTAAACACCCCAAATCCAGGAAACTCACACTTATGGCTGCAGTGCCTGTCTCCAGCTCCTTCGTCCTGTCTTTGATGTGGTTGGAGCAGTGGGAGATGCTGTCCCCAGCCTGGCGCGAATACTTATCTCGTTTAAAAATACAATGGTGTCATTTTATAACAAAATATACATATATATAAACCACTTTTTGTTGCCTTGGTTAAAAAGTGAAAGCTGGAAAAAAGAACAATTTCTGTCTCAATGAAGGAAAAATTATTTCAGCTTTACCAACTGACAGCAGATGCCAGCAAACGAAAAATTAGTCCCATTTCCTCACCGATTTTCCCACTTGGTCCTTATAGTGCCCTTGCATATCAATGGTTGATTTTAATGCTGTGGGTTTGCATTTTTAAAGCCTCCATCCCTTTTAAGAGTCCTAGTGTCCTTTGAAGGGACATTCGAAGTGCTGCCCGGTATCATCACTGCCAGCCACCACGGGACAGTTTCAGTCTGTGCAAATGGCAGGCTGGATCAAACGCAGCAGTGCAGCAGCCTCTCTTTCGTTAATATTGCTGCACAAAGTGTGCCAGTATGGGTAATTTTTGTTCTAACGAGTTTGTCCTGCCCTTTCTTCCCCAAATAATTACAATTTCTGCATAAGAAACATCGTTTTTGCAAGGTTTCTAAAAGACAGTTGTAAAATGGAGCAGGTATTTACCAGGAATACTCTGCCTTTTCCTCCTCCCCACGCATTTCTTCCCCTGCTGTGGGATTCAGTAGCTCCTTGCCAACCATCCAGCTACCCAGGGAAAGCACCTTTGCAAAATGAGGGTGACATTCCCAGATCAAGCTTTTGCCGGGGATGGGGTGGGGGAAGAGGTGCGGTTCTGGGACTGTCTGATCCCGTTCGCAGGAGGAACGGGAGTGTAAGGGACTCCACGTAGTGTAAGGAAAGAGCTTTATTATATGAATCTCAGTGCATTGAGAGAGGTGCTGTTACATTAATGACGAAGGCAGCGGCAGCAGGATTATAGTCGGGTTTCTTCCCACAGCTCACCCCCAACCTGCCTGCCTTCCAGCTGCTTTGTCAGGCTCCGCATGAAGCTGGAATTTGCGCCTGGGTCACTTCTGCGAAGATGCAGTGGTGAGAGGCTGGATTTCTGTGATTGTGTTTGCCTGGGTGGGGCACAGTTTCTGTGCTTTGACAGGCATGGCAGATGAGAAATGGTGTTTCTAAACCGTGTTCAGAGCAGGTGTGGTGAGTAGTGCTATCACCCCCTTATGTGATATAGTGATATAGAAGTGATATAGAAATGAACATAGGTGCAGGTTGCACTTAATACACAGATAGCCAGATTTCAGGTTTGTCTTTGAGTGCCGTGCTGCTGATCCAGGTAGGCATATACAAACACAGTACCTGTTAACACTCTAATATGTGGTTGACTCCATCACTGCAAATCACACTGTTATTTAACCTCACTTTCTACATGTGTCTGTGATCACAGGCGTTTGCATATACAGAGGAGCCTGACAGCCACATGCAGCAGTATATTACTATCTCCTGATGAGCCTGTTGATGCTGCAGTCTTGGAGGGGGGCTTTTACTGGGTATAATGGAGACGTGCAGAGAGCGTGGTGTTTTGTGGTCTGTGGAGGGCACTTTACTCTTCCTTTGCTGTGCCTATCAGTTTGTTCCCAACCATTTCAGGTTGAGTTTGCCTTGCCTTCAGAAAAGAGCGTTAATGTTTCTTCTCTCAGAAGTGGTCTGTATAAAGGCTGCACAGAATTGCTAGGAAGAGGAGGGACAATCTGTCTCTTCCCTCCGTGCTCACCCCTTGGAGGCCTAGATGCTGTGGAGCGAAAGAGAGGCAGACAGAGAAGTGCCCTGCAGTGTGGCAGAGCAGGGTTTACAGGTCACCTTGAGATCGGGTACAAGGCTTGGATGGCTTGAGCTTGCCCGTGAGAAATATAGAGTGAGTGGCTCCCCTGCGGCTGTGCTTGAGAGGTCTCAAAAGCATGTGAGGTGATGGAAGGAACACTGCACGCAAACTGATCTGTGGTGCAATGTTTACTGCGTCCCATGTCGCCAATTCCAAGGGCTCAAAAATCAGGTCAGCTTTCCCTCTCCTCTCACTCTGTGGACTGGCTTAGAAATCAAGATTGTAAGTAATACCTTATGGATATTCAGTTCTAGTATTGCAATATTGAGGGTTTATGTTGTCGTACTTTTCTTTACAGTCCAGGCTAGAAGTTGACTTTAAGAGGAAAAAAAGGTTAAGAGCAAGCCAACAAAAGGCAAGCTGAGGGCCTGATGAAATCATGCAGTTTCAAGAGCTGGGGCTTTGAGATAGTTTTGAATCTTGCGATAAAATCGTGAGAGATGGCAACACTGAAACTGGTTGCAAAGACAGAAGATAGATGATGTGACGCTGACCACAACTTTGCAGTCAGTGCAGAACAGGAAAAATCATGCTCAGCACCATGTCAGCTAATTCGATTTCATCGCTCTGTTCAAATGTCCCAGTTGGTATGTGCGCATATATTTCCAACCAAAAGACTGCTAATTTCAGTGGAAGAATTTGAGACTGTTAACATCTGAAATTATGTAAAAGATAGGAAATAGTCAAGTCATTCAAAGCTCAGTTCTCACCTTATTTCCCACTCCCTTCTGTAACCCTCAGTGACCATCTGCCTATCCAAATGGGTATCCTAACACATCATGCCTTCCGTCCCTAGCTCACCCCCATCATCCTGGTTTACTGAAGGTTGAGAAAACCATGGGAGATCTGAAGCTGACAGGAATGAGAAAAAGCAAGAGAGCAATAGTGGGTGGGCAAGGTTTTGGGTAAGGGAGGTTATTCTGGAAGCCCAGGTTGTAAGGAATGCCAATTTCTCTGCGAAGGCATCGGCACCTGAGCAGTTGATTGATTCATCTTTTCCTTGTTTCACTAAAACTTTTGTCCAGCGGAGATACTTGACTCACCCAGTGCTGCTGCCTGTTGTGATGAAGAGTGAAAGCAGAGCACCTCAGGCATTGATCAGCATCTTTGGCAGACTCAGTTGGGGTCTGGTACCTCATGTTCCCTGCCCAACTGTACTTTCTTCTACGTGAGGGTCCCTGAGCATTTGCGCCTTTAGACGCTGATCTCAGAGGCTGTGTTCCTGCCATTGCATCAGACTTTGCTGTGGGCCCCCCAAGTGTGATTCATCTGGTGGTGTCCACTGTCTCGGTCAGATGCTGTTGCTAAAGGTGAGCCTATTAGAGCCAGCTGAAGCCATCTGAGCTTGTCCTGGTGACTACTGCGAAAATCTGTTTGTGTCTTCAATTTTTAATGCGGCCTACACCAATGATTTTTGCAAAGCTCAATGTTTTGGGTGAACTCAGTTTCTTGACTTGGAGAAACTCAGAAAAATCTGAAATAACCATGATTTTATTTCAGATGAGGACTGATTTCAGTTTATTTTTTTCTGAAAAAACGAGGCATGACATTCAAGCACCTCAGAAGCTGTCCTTTATTTCAGTTATGTTAAGGACAGTTGTGGCATGAAGTTGAGAGACTAGATTTAGGCATTAAATTGTACAGCAAGTAATTTCTGGTTTTGTTGAACAGATAAATCTTGGCACTCTTTCTCCTCCTGGAACCTCTGTAATGTCCTATTTGCTATATGGATATGTGGGATCTACATCAGAGCTTAAACATTTGGACTAACGGCTTTGATGCCCGCCTTGGGGTGTAGTAGATACACTTTTCTGAGGAGCTGCAAATAAAACCAAAGGAATTTTCAGACCGTGTTGCTTAGTGTCTCAACAGTCAGATCAGTGTGTGCCCACCTGGGCACCCAGTGGTGGAGGTTGACACAATTGGTGGCTGCTTCAAATAATTTGACTGGGACTATTGCCCTACTGTGAATATAAAATAATCTCCCACTGGAGGTGGAAGAGCAGCCTTAATGTGCAGTACAGGGGTCGGGCTCTGAGCACAAGCCTGAGTGCTGAGGCAATTCTGCCCCAAAATAGTGGCTGGGTTGTGAAGTGCACTAATTCTCATGCTCTTGTATTTCCACAGCCTCGGAGCGATCTGTGTGTCCGTCTCTAGAGGAAGCACCCCCCTTCTCGGTGCCCTTCAAACCATACATGTGGAACAGCCTGGGTGGCTCTGAGCTGAGGCACCTCGTGCAAAGCTACAGGCCCTGCCCGACGCTGGAGCGAACGTCAGCCCTGGGGCTCTTCTGCGAGCGAGGCTCCGAGCCTACCCTCTACGGTGCAGAGTGTAGCTCTTCCCTCGGACTCTATGGTGACTTTGTCTCCCCGGGCCAAGGGCTGTTTGAGCGGCCGCCAGCAGCAGCACCCGGACTCTATGCTGAGACACAACATGGGCTGCAGCAAGAGAAGGGGCCAGGTGGTATCAAAGTGGAGTCGGACCTCTTGTGCCGCCCATTGCTCATCAGTACTGGCTCTTACAAGTGTGTCAAGTGCAGCAAGGTAGGGATCCCTTTCTCCCACACTAGTCAGGACTCTTCTTTTCTCCCTGACAAGCGTGACCCTGTGTGCTCTCTCCCCTCAGGTCTTCTCCACACCGCATGGCCTTGAGGTACATGTGCGCCGCTCACACAGTGGCACAAGGCCCTTTGCCTGTGACATATGTGGCAAGACCTTCGGCCATGCAGTCAGCCTGGAGCAGCACAAGGCCGTGCACTCGCAGGTGAGAGCGGGGCGGACTGCCAGGATGAAGGTCCGAGGGCCAGGGCCAGCTGCTTGCTTCAGCTGGCTCTGTGGAGGCTGTGGAGGCAGTCACAGGGCAGTAGGTGAGCGTCTAAACTGAGGAGAGGAAGAACGTGGTAGGGCCGCAGTGAGGAGCTGGGGATGAAGAACATTGTGGCAGGCAGAGGGAAGGGTGGGCAGCTTTTGAGCAAAGGAGCAAATGGACAAAGAACACAGGGTTTGCTGCTAATCCCCAGACCCCCTGTGTGTCTGTATTAAGCAATGGGCACTTCTGGCACTCCAGAAGTAACAGTTAATAAATAATAAATTTTCACTCTCAGAGCTGGAAATTGTGATGCAGATGTGGACTGTTTTTTAACAGCTAAAACAACTCAGTGCTTTCTTTCAATGCAGCTCTCCTCATTCTTGCTCCTCCCCTCCCCCAAAGAATTGAGTCTTCCCTTGTTTGTAGTCATTGTGTCTGTGCAGGGAACATCTGAACGACCAGTCAGGTATAGAGCACAGACTTCACCCGTCTCGACACACTCTGAGTCACGCACCAAAAAAGTATGGTAGTTAATTTTGGTAGGAGGACTTGTAACATTTTCCACCTGCTGATACAGTGCCATATTTCCCCTTCACCCACCCACTTGATCTGGCAAATCTTCCTTCTTCACACTGGCTTTTGGAGGATAGCATTACAGCAGTGTTTGTTTGCTAACTGTTTTATTTACAATTTCATGAGTGTGCACCAGCAGAGCACACAGTGAGGGGAAATATCCCCTCACCCATTAAATAATGGTGAGAAGAGCAGCACTGCATGTTGTGTTCATGGAGGGGACATTTCAGGGAGAGTGCATTAAAAGCCACATAAACCAAGGTGATTGCATGAAAGCACAGCAAGAAGAAGAAGGTGTGATGGTAGTTAAAGGATGGAAAGAGATGATTTATGGAAGAAAGTGGTGGGGAGGAGTGTGTGAGGGAGAAGAGAAAGACAACGAGGTCTTAATGTATTTAGTTTGATGTTAAAGTAGTTAGCCAGAAAGCTTTTTTCCCCAGGTGTTCCAGGTACCTTTCACTTGAATTATAATGGAACTACAAATAAGCAGTTAGTGGTTACCCTGTCAGCAGAAGTCAGCCAGCCACAGGGATTTCCTAGGAGAGCCAAGCAGACCTCAGCACCCGCTTTCCTGTGCACAGTGGAGAGGTGGCTTGTGAACAGTGCTGCAGCTGTTGGGCTTCCCAGTGGAGTGATCATGTCTTGGGCCCTTGTTGAAATGTGCAGGCAAACTCTGCCCTGTCAGTCGGGGCAGCTTCCACCTGGCCATTCCTTCCAGCAGGAAAAGCAGTTCAATTAAATTTTTGTGAGGCGCAGTACACAGCACTGGGAGAGGGAGCATTATCTTTTTTATCATGCGGTGCTGTCGTGCCAGTGTGAGTGTCTCCTGAGGCCAGTCCAGCTCTGGAGAAGTGGAAGTGCTTGCTAAGGCAGAAGGGTCAACACTGATGTACTGTGGGGGAGAGTGTTGCTGGTGGGATTGCTGGTGTGGTGTAACATGTGTGTTTGGGCCTCTCTCTCTGCAGGAGCGCAGCTTTGATTGTAAGATTTGTGGCAAGAGTTTTAAGAGATCATCGACTCTGTCCACCCACCTGCTCATCCACTCGGACACCCGGCCCTATCCGTGCCAGTACTGTGGGAAGCGGTTCCACCAGAAATCTGATATGAAGAAACACACCTTCATTCACACAGGTCAGCCCTGCAGCTGCTGCTGTTGAGTCCCAGCTGTAGGGGAGGTCTCAAGAGGTGTCTCTGCAGCAGTCCCTTTCTCCTTAGCTGGGACAGTACATGCACCTCCTCATGCTTCTCATTGCCCTGCTGCTGTTCATGCTGAGCTCTACTCGTGCAAAAGAGGGTGATTTGAATGTGGTTTCATGAACAGCAGCTGCAAAATAACCCAAATCCTCACAATCTGATCAGTGTTCCCTTCATAGGATCCACCAATGTTTACTCAAAGGGCTTTTGTGGAAGATGATTTTGTAGAGTATTATGCTCATGTAGCCTTGATTTACAGCTGAGTTCCCTGGAAAATGACAGGTGAATTTGGCTGCAGCATTTCTTTTTGCAGGATCTATCAATTTACAATAGGAACAAAAGGAGTCTCCTCCTCAAGATCAAACACTACACCAGAGGATCTAGGGTCCAACTCTTACTCTAAATATTTGTTCAGAGTTTGTCTGCACTTCCACCCGGACTTTCTGGGAAATGGCTACAGTTTGATACGGAATGGAAGCAGAGGTGCACAGTTCTCAAGTTTCTCTGTTAGTAATAAACATGGAAACTAATGAAGTGCAGGTGAATTACCGAAGGAAATAGTTTTAAAAGCATCGTTCAGTGAGAAGGCATGTTTATCAGAAATCTTTAAAAGGAAATCTTGCCTTTCAGACCTGCACCATTCACTTAAAGCAGAGGGAAAGGAATGATGTGTGAGATATAGAAACATTTGTAAACACAAAATAACAGCTGTACTGGCCAAACCCGAGGTTCTGATGACCAAAATCCCGTTTCCTGATAGTGACCACTACCAGATACCAAGGGTGAAGCCTAGAAATGGCAAATATGTAGAAAGATAGCAATATATGTAGTCCTGCTTTGTTGTGACTTTTCTAGGTGACAAGCAGTGAACAATAAATGTTACTTATAGAGATTCCTCACCAGATGTTTGCTGGATGAAAATGAACTATTTAGGAAGTAACACAGAAAGTATTTCTTTTCTTTTCAAATGAAACGTTTTCAAATGAGACTTGGCTGATTCAGAATTTGGCTGAAATTCTACTTAATCAAAACTGCTATTTTGTTGAGTGATCAGAAAATCTGCCTGGGCTTTTAAATTGCTAATATAAACCCAGGTCCTTAACTGAATCAGGGATCCCTTTCATACGCAGCATACACTTGTGAACTGAGCCTCCAGCCCATTTTGTATTACTGTATGTTTCTAAGAATCTGATCTTCAAACACGCAAAGGCTTTGCTCCAACTGAAGTCAGTGGGCTCTGCAGGTGCAAAGCTACGCTGAAACTCAGACTTGATTTTGTGGTTGGATTCCATTTTATCCGTTATTTGATAATAAACACTATGAAAATGCACAGAGATCCTGCTCCCACGGAGGCCAGTAGAGTTTTGCCACCGAAGGCAAAGTTCTGGTGGCAGGATTTATTCCTGTGAATGTTATTTGCCTGCAGAAGAACTTCAGGGCTGGCTTGGGGTGACTGCTAGCATTTCATTGTGGGGAACAGAGAGAAGATCAGATCTCTGGGTTCACTTAAGGCCTCTCATACTGTGGGGACAGACCCCAGCTCCCTGGATTTGGTTTAACAACACCCATCTAGCTATTCCACCTGCCCCCATGCTGGTGCTGTAATAAGAGAGACATTCAGCATGACCTGGGGGTCTTTCCTGGTGTTTTTAGGACACAAAGCCAGTTTAAATCTCACAGAGCCCCATGTAGCCGAATGTATTCAACAAGTTGTGGTGTCCTGGGAGCACTCTGTGCTTCAGGCTGCTCCCGGGACTGTACTGGGCTGGTGTAGGTGCAGCTAGTCCAGGCCTGCTCAGCTGCAGTGCAGGCTCAGCTAATGCTTTGGGGCTCCCACTTGCATGTTTTTTATAAGAATGACTTCTTTAGTAATCACACAGGAATCGCTTTGATTAGCTCTAAGGCCCAGTGTGCATTTCCTGTTTGCTCTGGTGTGTGTAAACAGCATGGTGCCTCTTTCACACCCTCTCTCTCTTCTGCCTTCTGCTTGCAGGTGAGAAGCCTCACAAGTGCCAGGTGTGTGGAAAAGCCTTTAGTCAGAGCTCCAACCTCATCACCCATAGTCGGAAGCATACAGGCTTCAAGCCCTTTGGCTGTGATCTGTGTGGCAAAGGCTTCCAACGAAAGGTGGATTTACGGAGGCACCGGGAGACACAGCATGGCCTGAAATGAGTCACAGCTGCAATATGGAGAGCACCTACAACACTATGAGAGCAGACTCCATGGCTTCCCTGCTGGACCAGGGTCTTGTCCTGAGCACAGACCCTGGCATTATCTTCCTGACGAGGAGCTCAGAGAGGAAAGAAGAGGACAGGGCCATGCATTGACAGCTCAACCTGAATGGCTGTGATAGCGGAAATTAAAGGCTGGAGTTTCTCTCTTCCCCTGCCCCTCTCTGTTTCTGAAATAACACTGGAAAATAAACATTTTAGATACGAAGTCTGATACTCCAAAGATGGATAAGCTACCGTATATCTGTAAGCTGGGAAATATTTTTCCCATGGCCAAGATGAAGCCCTGAAGTTTTCAGTAGCTTGAATTACCTTGCAGGGAAACATGGGTATAACTGTGTTTACATGGTAATGACAGAGAGCCATCAGCATGTGGTTGTGGGGAGTTGTTTCCTTGCTTGAGTCAGTGCTGAATGGCTTTACTCTTGGTTTCCTGTCAGGAAAACCTGCAGGATCAGGACTGAACTGTGTAGTTTGACATCTTGCTGGTTTTTAAGCAAAGCTACCAGCTTGGGCCTGATCCTGCTTTCGCTTGTTCTGGTGCAAATTAAGAGCTGCATTAATGGTTCTAGAGTGGCTCTTCTTACCCTCTCAGAGCCGTTTCTCTCTCTGTGTGAGGCCTGGGTGTGTGCATCTGTGTCTGAGGCATGGGGGGTTACTTCTTGCTACATCCGCTGGGGAGAAGGAAGCTGGTGAATGACAAGTGGAAAAGCCAAAGCAGAGAGTTATGCCTTATAACTAGCGACCCATCCAGCAAGTGACCTGATTGAGGAGAGTAGGAGCACTGGGGAGGCACAGCCTTTTTGTCCAGAACCATTATTGGCTTCTGCACTCTGGGTGTGTTCTAATAACTGCAAAATAGCTACTCAATAGCATCATTTGTATATTTTGGGGCTTTGTTTGTTGTTTTTTTTTTTTTTTAATTTTTAAAGGGAAACTCAGCTGAGGTGGGCAGGAATCATTATAAAAGTGTAAGTGACTGAATTTGCCTTAAATGACCCTGCATGTACCTCAGTTTAAAAAAAAAAAAAGCTGTTTCTACTTTGTTGACAGGTTTGTAAATGCCCTTATTTAGATTTTATGGAGTGTCTTACATTTATTGGTACGTATTTATTGGAACAATGTTTTAAGTTAATAAAGTATCGAGGATGGTCCAGAGTGATTTTTAGTTAATATGACACTTCAGCACTTTTGTGGATGTCAGCCGTTGCAATGCACCGCAGTGATGGTCAGGGATATGCTACTCGAGGAGGGAATGCAAGCACAGCAGAATTTGCACAAGGGCTCTGGCGACTGAAGAACAACGCTTTTATGTTTATTTGCCCAAACCCCACTGATTTCAGTTAAACACTTCACACTTTTGAAGACTGGAATGTACTGTGCTTAGGACTATCACCATAAAAGGCCTTAGAGGGGAAACAGTAGCTTTAAGTGTCTACACTGGAAATGTAGACTGCCACAAGTCCTTGTTCAGCCCAGGAGGAACTTGAACGTCCTCCTGCAAGATTAAATGTCTGTGCCTGGGAGTCTGTAGGAACACCTGAGCAGCAGGTGCGGTATTTATACTTAAACCTGTTGGGACTCACAGCTTGCCTTTTGCCTGCCTGCTGTGTCAGCAGGGCTTGCTCCATCTGGCAGCCGCAGCTCATACAAAAGAGAAGCAGGAGGATGATGGAGGGGTCCCTTGTCCTTTTCCCAGCAGAGCACAGCATGGTAGCCTGGTCTTTTACATGTGCGTCTAACCTCGTGTGCCCACATGGATATATACGCTTGTTTCCCACTTTGGTTGTACTTTTATTCTGGATAAAACCAGTGAGCAGAGGCCTTCTCTGCCCCACTGGGCTGGCCCTGCCCCCAGGGCGCCCTGCCCGCCTGAGGGCCTGGCACTCCACCTGCCACGGTGCTGCCCAGGTCCTTGCATGCTTCTGCTTTCTGCCACCTCTGAGAACTTCAGGTGCAGCCCCTCGCCGGCAGTGGCTGAGGTGTATCTCCACAGGGCTGACCAACCACAAGCTGCTTGG